TCTTAAGAATAACATGACTTGTATCATATTCAAATCTAGAATAAGTGTATATGTTTTGACTTCGGCTTGTTTGTTTCCTCAGAAAAGTCTCAAGTACCAAGGTATCCTATGGTTCCTCAGTATTAGAGCTATCCAAAACTGGCTTTTGAGAAAGAATACAATATCAACCGTGGCATAGCTGACTACTTGCCCTAAGGAACTTATTTTTTTTCCTATAAAGACTAAAAGCATCAACTGAAAATACTTTGCTTCCAGCCACAACTTCACTGTAGTCAATCAGTCAGAAAATATTTAAGAAAAGCAACCCCAGCTAAACTCAGTTATTCTTGTTCCTTCCCCCAATATGTGCTATCACCTGTACTGGAGAAAATGAAAGGAGCACACCTATTTCATATGGTACTGCCCTTCTGCCTCAGTTCTAAGAAAGATACACTTAAGAAAAAGATAAAGATAGGGAAAACAGCAGCTGTACAAACATTCCAACATCATTATATGCTACATGACTGAAATCAAAGTAATTTGAACTGCTATGAAACCAGAATCCTCAGTAACACATTGTGCAACACCACAGTGGAGACAACTAACTGGTTTCCCTCAAAATGAACCATAAACAGTAGGGAACATGCACAAACTTGCGTCTTTGGAATTACAGAAAGAAAGCACATAAAATATCCATCCTCTCTTCCCTGAGGGTAAATAGTTCATTCCTCCATCTAAGTAAATTCTTTGATTGTGAGAGACACAGGTCTAGTTTCTTTCAAAAGTTAAGAAGTTGGAGTATTTACTTCCCATGTAAAGGGAACATATACACATAATATCAACACCTTCCATTTCTGGAAGGTTCTACTCCTGCCTCCTCCCAATAATCCATCCGGACACGTTAATTCATCCACTATTACCACCAGCTGTGCAACAACTGTACTATCCTAAACAACTCACTTTACCTTCCCATGCCACAGCTTCACTGCAATCCATACATTTCACATTGGTGGGCAATTCTAGGAAGGTCCACTATCCAGAAAAAAGCATCCCACATACCACAGAGGGACAAGTTCAATTAATAATTGATTGTCACTGCTATCTGCCCAGAGATGTAAGCTGCAGGGTGCAAAGCACATATAAGGTCAAACCACAAAGCCACAGGCAGAGAGACTGCAGTCATAAACAAGTGTTTTGTCAAAAGCATGCAGAACTATCAAAATCAGGAAAAAACTGCTGCCAAGTTAAGCACTCATATATAAAGCTGGTGTTTAAATAAATTTGTTTGCAAGTAAGAGTCAGATAATGGGATGTAGTCTAACAACTGCAGAAAACCATAATTTGTTTGTATCTAAATATGCAGTAACAGGAACTCTAACAGATGCACTGCCTACCCTTATAATGACCCAATGGCTCATTTCTGCTATTCTCAGCTACTTTGGTGCACAGAGGCTTGTATTAATACTGTAATTCTGAGCCAAGAGTAAGTTGTGCTATGTAAAACATGCTCGCATAATGAAGGTGTGGCTAATTTTGTTGTTTTGGTTTGGTTTTTTTTATGTCAACAGAAAAAGTTGCCGTTCACACAAAATAACAATTGCAACGCAATTCCTGAAACCAGGCTCAAGCCTGTCTGTACGTTCGTATTTCAATTCCTGGACACACAACCAGGTAAAAGTTTCGTGACTTTAACAGTAAACGGCAACACATTTAAGTCATTCCTTGAAAAGCAGGAGCAGCAACATCTGTTCTTCGAAAGGCCCGCTCCTCCCAGGTCGCTGTTCCCCCCTCCCAGTGGGATAGGAGCACCAGCTGGGGTTCCCCCATCCCCTCCGGCGCGGTGCGGGATGAGGGCCGATGGCTGTGCCGGCACGCCCAGCACCGCGCCCTTCGAGACCCGCAGCCACGCAGCTCCTCGGGCCCGGCCGACAAGAACACCGACAGCTGGCTCCCGGGCAAGCGGAGCGGCTCCCGGGGCTCGGGCAGGGGATTGCGCCCGCAGGCGGGGGCGGCCATGGATGTCCCTCCTCCCCATCCCGGCTCCCGCGCAGGACCGGCACCTTGAGCACGGGTGTGAGGTACTCGGCCACCTCCAGGGCCTTCCCCTTCACCGTGTTGATGACGTTCTGCATTGCGGCGATCGGACGGACGGGCGGACAGACAGACAGGGGCTGCCCGCCCTCGGCAAGGCGCTCCTTCGGCCGCCACCCCC